GTGAATTGGAGTTGAGGTACTATTTTCTAAAAGAGCTACATAGTTAGATAGAGAAAGAATTTTATAATGTACTATTGGAATTAGATGTGACATAATATATGTTTTAGAGATTTTAAAAATTTGTATTTTAGAGATTTTAAAAATTTGCAGTTTAGAAATTCTAAGAATTTTAGATGATACATAAAGTAGATTATTCTATATAAGTAATAAACTACTATGAGTATTTACTAATTTAATAAAAATTAATTGTATTTTAGTGATTTTTGCATTTGAGATTTTAAGAATATTGATTTAGCAATTTTAGTAACTTTGTATTTTAGAAATTTTAAAGATAATAAAAATTAGCATTTTAAAGATTTTAAGTTTTTGAGTTATATATAATATAGATCATTTCTAAAAAAGAATATAATCTACATGTATACTATCTTATATAGTTATGCTCAATACAAATAATTTCTAAAAAATGATCTATATACATATTACCTTATTTAATAAAAAAATTTTGAGTTGAGTTTGAAATTTTGGAAATTAGCATTTTAAAGTTTTTGAGTTGTTAAGTTTTTGAGTTTTGAGTTTTAGAGATTTTGAGAATTAGTATTTCTAAGTTTTTGAATTTGAGTTTTTAAATTACTAAGTTTTTGAGTTTTAGAAATTTTGAAAATTAGCGTTTCTGAGTTTTTGAGTTTAGAGATTTTGAAAATTAGTGTTTCTGAGTTTTTGAATTTTTAAGTTTTAGAGATTTTGAGAATTAGCATTTCTAAGTTTTTGAATTTTTAGTTATACATAATATAGATTATTTCTAAAAAAGAAATATAATTTATATGTATATTGCCTTATAAAGTTATATATAATACAAATTATTTCTATAAAAAATAATCTACATATATTGCCTTATTTAGAAGTCATCTAAAGTAGAGTAGAATTATATGATTAAATCACAATTTTTTATTAACTCAGATGAAGCAAAAATAATAAAAATACAAAAAATAGCTATTTAAACTTGTCTTGATGCACTAATTAAAATATCAAAAAGCTAATTTTACTTATATATTTGCTAATCCTAACTCTAACCCTAAAGTTAATAATAATTTTATTGATTTGTATAATCTACTTCACTTTAGATATTTATTTATTTAATAAAAAAATTTTGAGTTTGAGATTTTGAGAATTAGTATTTTAGAGTTTTTAAATTTCTGAGTTTTTGAATTTTTTAGTTTAGAGATTTTGAGAATTAGCATTTCTGAGTTTTTGAGTTTTAGAGATTTTGAGAATTAGCATTTCTGAGTTTTTGAGTTTTAGAGATTTTAAGAATTAGCATATCTGAGTTTGAGTTTTTGAGTTTTGAGTTTTTGAATTTCTGAGTTTTTGAGCTTTAAAAATTTTGAAAATTAGTATTTCTGAGTTTTTAAGTTTTTGAGTTTTTGGATTTTTAAATTTCTAGTTTTTGAGTTTTTGAGTTTTAGAGATTTTAGTAATTAGCATTTCTAAGATTTGAGTTTTTGAGTTTTAAAGATTTTGAGAATTAGTATATCTGAGTTTGAATTTTTGAGTTTTTAAGTTTTTGAGTTTTTGGATTTTTAAATTACTAGTTTTTGAATTTTTGAGTTTTAGAGATTTTAATTATTAGCATTTCTAAGTTTTGAGTTTTTGGATTTTTAAATTTCTGTTTTTGAGTTTTTGAGTTTTAGAGATTTTAATAATTAGTATTTCTAAAATTTGAGTTTTTGAGTTTTAGAGATTTTGAGAATTAGCATATCTGAGTTTGAGTTTTTGAGTTTTTAAATTTTTGAGTTTTTAGGTTTTTAAATTTCTAGTTTTTGAGTTTGAGATTTTAATAATTAGTATTTCTAAGATTTGAGTTTTTGAGTTTTAGAGATTTTGAGAATTAGTATATCTAAGTTTGAATTTTTGAGTTTTTAAGTTTTTGAATTTCTGAGTTTTTAAGTTTTAGAAATTTTAAGAATTAGCATTTCTGAGTTTTTGAATTTTTAAGTTTCTAAGTTTTTAAATTTCTGAGTTTTTAGTTTTTGAGTTTTAGAGATTTTGAAAATTAGCATTTCTAAGTTTTGAGTTATATATAATATAGATTATTATTAAGCAAGTTAACTTTTATTAACTAAAATCGATTTACTTAGTAAAATTTAGACTTTTTTATATAGTAATTATTGGTAATCTTAAAATAGTTTAAATCAAAACTCATAAACTTATACTAATTCTTAAAATCTCTAAACTCAAACTGAAAAACTCGGAAACTCAAATACTCAAAAATACTAAATTCTCAAAATCTCTAAAACTCAAAAACTATGAAATATTAATTTTTAAAATCTTTTGAACTTAAAAACTCAAAAAATTATTAAATAAGGCAATATTTATATATATCTTTGATATTATTACACAATTAATTAAGGCTTTTTTTATTTGTTTTACAATATATTATTTCAAAAACTTGAGTAAATTATCTTTTCTATAAATCTAGCAAAGTATACTAAGTAAACTTGAAGTTTTTATATTTTATTTAACAAAGTTCATTATTTTATTATTTATTAAATAAACTCTTTAAATAGTTTTAATAAGATTTATATATACTACAGATTAACTAACTACTTTTTTTATAATATTTTTGTAGTTGTTTAAATAAATAGCAGAGTATCAATACTTAAAATAATATAGTATTGAACTAATTAGCAAAAATATGAATATTAAATTTAAGAAATAAAATATTAATTTTATTTATTTAAATTAATAATTAAAATTAAAAATCTTTGAATTTTAATTTTTTACAATATTTGTTACATATATGTATAACAAAAAAATCAGTTATACCTTCTATTTGTCTATTACCAAATAAAAATTGACTTTTTTCTATATTATAAGCAATATGAATTTGAGGATCTGTAAATAATTTTCTGCAACCTTACATATCAACAATTATTGTATTTTTCTTTGAATATTGATAAGTAAAATGTGAAAAAGTTTGAATCTAATTATAATTTGAAATTTCTTTCATTATATAGCTATTATTACTATTATATTTATAAAAACTACCTTCCTTTAAAGTTTTAATTGTATAATATTGAATAGAAATCTCAACAGATTGAATAAAATATGTAGATACAAAACTAAAATTTATAATTTAAATAGAATAAATAAAAATACAAATTTGCAATTTATTATTAAAGTAATACAAAATCAATTTATTTACTCAAATTTATTAGAAACTTTATAATTATTTTGATTCATAAGTAATTAAAATTTATAAAAATATGATTAGACTATAATAATAATAATTACATCTCTGAAATAATTTTTTTCTATATCTTTTCTATATCTAATATACTGTTTTATAACAAGTATATTAGGAGAAGCAAAAAACTAATTATTTGTTCCATTTTGTGTAATTTTTGCTTTGAATACTTTTTATATTCCTTTTATAATATTTAATATAATTTTTTAATATAATTAAAATATACAAAATAATAATAATTATATATATACCACTAGCAATTGTATTATCTTCAATTTCAATATAAATATATCTAATATATTTAAATAATTCATTACCAAGATCATATTTTTCTATATTGTACTTATTTTTTTTTATCCATAAATACTATATTATATAATAATAGTTTTAGAAAATTAATAATATATATAATATATAATAAATTAATAAACTATATATTTTGTGAAATATTACTACCTAATTGATTTAATTGGCTTTGAATAGTTACTGTATTCTAGAATATTGAGGATAAAATTTAATTTTTGTATTATAAAATATTAATTAAATATTATATTATATTTACTGTACTTGAAAAAAATAATAGAGATTTAAAAGTTTCATCTTGAGAGTTATTATTATCTTTTATATCTTCATATTGATTATAATAAAAAATAAATTTAATTTTATAAAAATTTAAAATTTATTAAAATAATACTCAGATATTAATTTGTGCTTATACATAATAATATTTTAGATATTATAAATATAAATAAATTTATTTTTATAATTATCTGATTGTCTAAAATATTATTATTATATATAATAAAAATTCTTACTACTAGTTTTATGTTTTTTTATATTTTTATCAATTTTATTATCTAAAAGCTCTCAAATTTCATTATCTGAAGAAATATATTCATGAGTTTTGGCAAGCTAAGAGTTTTTATTATCTCTTATATCTTCATTTTGATTATAATAAAAAATAAAATTATTTTTATAAAAATTATTAAAATAATACTCTGATATTAATTTGTGCTTATATAGTAATAATATTTTAAATATTATAAATATAAATAAATTTATTTTTATAATTATTTGATCATCTAAAATAATATTATTATATATAATAAAAAATTCTTACAACTTGTTTTATGTTTTTTTGTATACTTATCAATTTCATTATTCAAAAGCTTTCAGATTTTATCATCTGAAGAAATATACTTATAGTCTATAAATATAGTAATATATATAAATATTAAAATTAAAATTAATTTAATTTAAAATCTTTTAGTAATACTTAATATTATATATACTAGAAACCTTTTCTAGATCACAATTAATATTTAAATTTTTATCTAAATAAATCAATTAATTATAGTAAATATACAGTATATTAATTATAAAAGATTAGATCTAACTTGATATAATTAGCTAGATTTGATTATTAGCTAATTATATGTATTAATTTTGAATTAATTTCAAGTTGGTAATTAAATATTAATATTACCATTTTTAGATTTTTTTAACTCTAATTCAAAGGTAATTTTTTAACAGATTTAAATTCTTTTTACTTGAAGTCAATGAAATAATATCACTATTTTTATCTTTTAAAAAAATATAGTTTTTTAATATATAGTAATTTATATTATAATATTTTAATAATATAATTACTTCATAAATTAAAGATAATTTTATTAGATTATCATGTTCAAAATTAGCAATTTTTTTGTAAATATTTTGATCTAAAATATATCTACTAAAATCTCTAACATAGCAATTAACATCTTTTGACCTAAGCTATGTATAAAATAACATAAAAAATTAGAAAATAATTTAAATTTATAAATTAATAACTTATTTACCTTATCTTCAAAAAGTATTAAAAGTAATTTTAAAATATCTTCAATTAAATCTTTAATGTTAAACTTTGTTTTATAAGTTTTTGCATTTTTGACTATTATTCCTTTACTATAATGTAAATTGTAATATAATAACTTAACAAGTATATTCTAAAAATAATAAATTAGTATTTGTAAATTAAAAATTATTATTATAACAATTTACCTTTTTAGTAGTAATATTAGTAATAATATTATTTTTATTTTTTTTAAAAATAATATTGCTACGAATATTTTTATGAGTTTCTATTTGATTAGCAATTCTAGATTCATAAATTTGCTTTTTTTTATCAACTAAATTTTTAAAATACATATTTTTTATATTTTTAGTTGATTGACTTATATAAAGTAATTCCAATTTAATAGTAGTACTACACTTATGACAAAAATTTGTATTTAAATAAAGTATTATTGAACACTCTAAACAAGAAATTTGTTGCTACATTTAAAGCAAAAAATAGTATTAGGTTGTAACTCTATATCATATTTAATATACTTCATCTAGAATAAAATAAAAGACATTTATTATTATATTTTATAAATAATTTTAAAAAATTATTAAAAATACTTTTGATTTTAAAATATGATAATGACAAAAAAATAAAAAATCAGATTTATTTATTTATATATATCTTGTTTATATTATATATATATATATATATAATTCTTATATATTATTTAATATTATTAAAAAGTATCTTAATAAATAATTATTACAAGATTGGATAAGTAGATCATATACCTATATATATGTATATTCTTTTATGGGTTTAAATATAATTATGAAGTCTCTTGTTGATTCAAGTTTTTGTAAATAATATAAATACTTCTGAATGAGTTCTATAAGCTGAGATAAAAAGGTAACAGATAGTTGCATATATCATAACCAATAATTATATATCTATTTTATAAAATACAATTTTAAAAATAAAATATATATATTGAAAAGTAATTTATTTTTTTATTTATTATTATAGCTGATGCTAAAATTTTATGCTGTAATTTGAAAATATAAGTCTTGCTAAAATCTAAATATGCTTTTAAAATATCAATTCTAACTCTAAACTCTAATTAATTATTTTTAATCTATTAAAAAAACTAGTTAGTATTCTATTACTATCTTTATTTATCTAGTAAAAATAAATAGCATTTATATAAATAATATAATATCTAAAATAACTAAATAATCTAACAGAGTTATTTAATATTTGTTCTATTAATAATCAGATATCTTTAGCTGATTAGAATTGTTTGCAAAAGATATACTGATATGAAATTTAAACCTATACTTAATTTGTCAATTAATACATATAATATCTAATTTATTCAGATTTATCTTTCTGCAATTTCTATTAGCTAGTTAATATTTTAGCTACTAGTTAAATTTGAATCTAATCTAATTCACTAAATTGAACTTCCAAAATATAAAAATTAAATCTGATTTAATTAATTTTGATGAATATGATTAGTAGAGATATTACTATTTATACTGATTTAATATATACTAATAAAAGAATAAGAAACACAAACATATATTTAATTTTATTTCTCTTTTTCTCTTTCTCTCTCTTTCTCTTATAAATACAATAATAAGAGTTAGAGATAAATAAGAGAATTATTATAATTTATAATTGTTACATCTTAAATCTAAAGTTGTTACTTCATATATCTAAAGTAGAACTTATTAAAATTAAACTCCTAAAATTAGATCTTAATATATACATTAAGTCATAATTTAGTTATATACTACTTTATAAATAGATAAGTAGCTACTTTAGATATAATATTATAATAAATTAGTTAGATATTACTCCTTACTAAAAGAATTATCGAGGTTTGGCGATCTTAGTGTAGTGGTTAGGTTGCCAGACTGCCATGCAAGAGGTCTGGGGTTCAAATCCCACTGTCGACGAA